AAGATCCAGCCCTTTACACTTCGCGTGGCAAAAGAGCAGAGAGACTCCTTTTGGGGAGGCTCGCAGGGCGTCCCCTTCCTCTGGCCAGGAGAAAGGCAGGCCCGAGGAGTCGGAGTACCATGTGATACTGTGAGTTACCCAAATCACTATCCCTGGGAGCGGTGGCGTCTGAGACACAGCGCTCTATGCTGGCCTATGGGGGGTGGGGGGAGTTTGATTTAGTTAAAAACAAGCCCGAGAACTTTGAGAGACCTTGAAACAAAAACAAAGAAGCCGGCCAGGAAAAAAAAGGATCTTTCTGCGTTCTCCAGCCTCCTAAACCAATGAACAAATGACTTGAAATAGTTCCGCTCTTCTGGTGAAACCCTGACCGTGATCATTAACACGGGGAGATAGATTGATTGTACAAATGTCTTTCCTCGTTCAATTAGAGTAGGGGGAAAGACTCTCTCTTCATCCCACCTTGAAAAATCTGCTGACATTCTGCAACCCGGATTTGTGAAAACTGGTTTCATGGTCACACTCTCTTTTCCCTACCTCCTCTTGTAAAAACACAACATCCACGAGTCAGGAATGAGCGATAGCAATTAGCAGCCCTCACGCCCAGATACAAAGCACAAACCCGTCCTTATCTGCTTTGAGTCTACTCTAAACCTTTCCTGGAACATGGAAGAAAAGGCAATCCGGAATCTGCTCCTGGCTGCGGTGTGAACTTCCCCAGGGCCCTGGAACCCGGGCTGGGGGATATCTGATTGTGGCTGGGGAGGGGTGAAATGAAGTCTTGGGCACTACCACTTCCTGACTCATCGGGTTGCAAGTAAAGCTCGCCCTTGTGCAGAGAGGGCTTTTTTTGGGGGGGAGTGCTAAGCTACTAAGCTACTCCTTAACCAACTTCCTTGATCAAGTTTCTTGCTAGGATCGCATATAACCCATTGCAAAGTGTTTCTGTTTCTCTGTCCGAGAGATGCGGCCCACGATGCTCTCCCCCCCCCCCATTGGGGAAATCCATGCTAGCGCTCCAGCCCCCCGTTTCCCATGGAGCTAAAGCACACAAACTCTGCTAAGATGCCCCCCAGGCTCTTATGCGGGAGGAGAACGTGAGGTTTATTTTTCTCCTCAATCGGGGGCCAGTCAGTGAAGGTTTGTGGGGTTGTTGGGGGGGTTGGTTGTTTGGTTTTTTGCTCCTCACTTGTGTGCAGCCCTCCCCGATTGTTCTGTGGGTCAATGGCTCCCAACCCAGAAAAGGTTCCTCACCCCAGTGCTAGGGAGTTTCTCATCCCAAACATCAGAGAGGCTCGCCAGAGACATCCAGATTCCTCCTGCGGCTGTTTCCTCCCCACTCCCTTCCTCTTAGTCTCAGCGCACCCCGAAGTAGCCCCGTACATTTTAGGTCTCGCCTGCGCAGGAGCCGGGGTTGGGAATGGGACATTTGGTCCGAAGCGCTTTGCTCTTGCGTCCTGCTGTTAAATCCCCCGTTTGATCCGGCCCCTCTAGCTCCCCTGAGTGCAGAGCCTCGCCTTGTGTATTTCGTGTTTCTGTACAGAATGCCCCGAGCTGGCTGGGGCTCTGTAGCTGGCAGTTTGATTCTCGATTAGGAAAGACACAAACAGGGTTCCCCCGCACCCCCAGTTTTGTGAAAGAGGCGCGTGTGGATTCCCAGGCCATATATCTTTATGACGTGACAATTGCCGGGAGCAGCAAACGAACCACTTGGGTGGAAAAGGTTTAAATTCAGAGATGGAGGAAATTCAAGTGAAACACTCTCCGGCTACTGCTGTTCGCCGCTTCTCTTCGCCAGGGGAAGGATCCCTCGGTTGTTTGGCATGTTGTTCCGGGCTGCAAGAAGCTGCACAAAGTGACCTCAGACCCAACCCTAAAGTCTACATAAGCAAAACTCCCATTGGTCCATAGAGCTTTAAAGAAAAAGTAGACTGGTGCCGGCAGTGCTCTTACTCTCGGGCGTGTGCCCTGATTCCCCGTTATTGGGAGAGGGGCGGCGAGAAGAAACAAAGTGGGAAATTCAGTAGCTGACTCAGATACTGACGCCATTAATGTCAAGGGGTGAAAAACCAGAGGGGGAAACTGTATCTGGTTTATCATGCCGATGGGAATCTTGAAACGCGTAAAAGTTCCCAAGGGATAAAAAGAATCACCTGCGCTGCGTCGTAGTGTCCCCTGCAGGAAAGACAGGATGTCGTGTCTTTTTTTCACTCTCAATTATTAACAGTTACAAACTTTCAAAAGCAAAAAAACCTGCCTGGGGACTCCCTATTGAGACACTGTAAAGGAAAAGACGAGCAAGTGTGTACCCGCACAGCGGATGAGAAGCCACTGGGAGGTCGATTTGGAGTAGTCTTCAAACATCGTACAATAGACAAATCTCTCTGCACACTGCCAATCTCCCCAGCGCCTCTATCTTTAATCTCAATGGCAGTGTGGAGTGAAAACTCTGGAGTCTGTTTTGGGAGAACCCACGCGGGGAGAAAAAAGATATCGCTCATCGTTGTTAGGCCTCATTTGGCCCCAAAGAAAAAGGATGCTAGAGCTGCATATAGGAACATACTAGTATGGAGTCGAGTTTAGATCAACAAATCTTCCTTCCACTGATGTTACTGCCACTTTCTTTAGTATTAATTTTAACTTATTCTCGAAAATATCTTTAAATATTTTTGGGTCTCCAACCCCAGGACTACCCACATTTTGCGCCCTTTGCTCGCCCACTGCAGGCAGTATGGGGTTTCATTGGAGTAACTCTGAGTTTACATTAGGGTCCTTGAGAATAAAACGCGGCCCCAGTGGGCCTACGAGCATGTGTAAAACGGGCAGGATTTGGCCCAATACCTTTAGTCACTGTGTGTCCCATAAATAAACACTGGCCTTTTCAGCCTCCTCGTGCTCACCTTTCAAGCCCAGGGGAGCAAGAAAGATACCATGCGCTTCTACACTTCTCTGCTAGTCAAATGCCCCTTGCCACAAACTCCAGGGCATCAGGCCAGGTTTAGCAGGCGGGGAATCAAATTTCGAATGCAAGCGGATTTCCACTAGATCCCATCACAGCCTCACTTTTTGTTTTATACCAGTGAGGGCGGTTTTCTTTCAAAGAAGAACTCCCATTTGCATCTAGTTTCCCCCCCGTAGCGCTGCATTCTCTTTTCCATCGCACCCCAAAGATGGTTTAGTTACATGAGCCAAAAAAAAGCCTTCATCTTCTGTCCTCCAGTTCACAAGGCCAAAACCTGCTCGATTTTTTGCAATGAGACAACTCGCTTGAGCAAGAAGAATCAGACCATATGCAGGTCTTGATCTAACTTTGTCCTATCTGTCTCCAATTTAGAGAGTAGACTTTGTGGAAGGAAGGAAGGAAGGAAGGAAGGAAGGAAGGAAGGAAGGAAGGAAGGAAGGAAGGAAGATCCTTTTAGAAGAGGGGACTGGATTAATTTAAGCAAGAGAAAACTAAAGCACTCTTCGTTAGTGTAACATTTCATTAGTGTGTTTGCTTTTGTGGTTTTCGTTGGTCTACAAAAGAATCGATTGCTGTAGCACTTCGCAGGCAGTGTATTAAAAGAAGCGGGGTTACTTAAGGTGCATTCGGAAAACTGTTTCATTTATTCATTCAGATCTTTTAGCCTGAAAATATTAAAATTCCCGAGAGTTACTCTGTTTCGAGTAACTCCTCGACAGCTCCTTCATCACCCAGTGGAATGAATCACCAGAGGGAAACAGACCATTATCCCCCTATTTATCTGCCTAACACCACTGGACATAATCCTCCCTGCCAAATTAGATCTTTGCTTCATCCCTTTCTCCATTTCATGGACACTCTACGGGCAGTTTTTCGGTTAGAATGAGTTTCTTTCAGACTGGGCAACATAAACTTTCCTCTCTCTGTTCCTTATTTTCCTCTATACGCCAGGAATCAGGAATCAAACTCACTTCTCATCGTTTTTATTTGAACATAAACAGCACGGCTCTGCGGTCAGACAGTCTGACCATCAGTCTTCGTTTAAAATCCCTTCTAAGAATCTTCTTTGGAAGTTCCCAGTAACCATAAAGTGGCGGTGGTTGTTTCATTTTGTTTGCAGAGCCTTTTGTGTTAGATTTGTATAAAGTAACGAACAATAATAACTACCGCTTCTTCACAAAGTCATCGAAGCTCAAACACATGGAGTTTACACGGATAAAAGTTCTCCGTGGACCTAGCACAGACGAAGTTTGAGAGTAATTCTAAATGGAGAATTTTCTCTTACAGAATTTTTATAATGTCCAATTTAGAGGCAATATAAAGAGATGTTAGAGACCTGATATAAGAGGGAAGGAAAATAAAGGTACGATTTCCTGCATTATTAATCCTTTCTTCATGTGCAGTAATTCACTGATTCTTTCCCAGTAATTATGCAAAAACTGTCCCCACTATAGAAAATAACAATATTTTAATAAATATATGAGAAATAGGGAATTTCGTTATTGTTACCCAATCAGTCCAGAACAATATATTTTCTATTATTTTGCTTCTAAGACTCATTTTGAGCTTGTAATATTTTATAGTTGATTTTCTGTAACGAATTTGATTTTAAAAACTTTTTTAGCCTGGAAAATAAATGTTATTTGGACATAAAGAAAAGTTAACTTATTGCTTCTCTGTTTGTAAATGCATCTGCATTTTGCACTGTCATTTTGCTCCTGTATATCGCTTTGACAATCACTTTACGGCGAATAGCTTATGCACTCAGAAAGATACTGCACACTGTACAAAGAGAAATAGCCCTATAATTCAAGCAATTCATTTATACACGCAAGAACACAAGGAGGGGAGGAGGAGCTGGACAATTGGCTTCGTTTTTATTGCTACCCTAAAAGTAGTTCTTGTTAGCCTTCTTCAGCTTGTTGAGAAGAGTCACAGCAAGTGACTTTTCTAGGTTTTCCTTTTTGTTTTTTTTCTCGCAGTCTCAGACAAAGGCGAAAACAACTTTTATTTCATTTTTTATTTGAAATCTCATCCAGAAACACTGGTCCATAATAAATATATCGATAGTTATCAAGAATATATAAAAAATAAAGACACGTTGTTGTCTTTGAGGCCGTAACAAAATATTTCAAGCAAATGCCCAGGAAAACATAACAAAATCAAACATAAAACGACAGTAAAGTTCCAATGGAGTAACACAATGACCAATCTGGCCAGAGTCGACCCTGCATGCAGATCACTGAGCAAGGGGTATTGAGGGCAATGTGGAACCCAGCCAGCTGAACTACTACACTGCACTTAGAGCAGGAGATAAAAACCTGGCGAAACATTGTGCGTGTTTTGCGCTATTTCTCGTTTTATACAGCCACGGACGGGGTGAGGGTGTAGGGAGGAACCCAGGAAATGCTTTAGGGAATATCCTTGTTACAAGGAAAACTGCACCATTGCCAGAACAACATGTTTAAACGAGATTCAATTATAAGCAAGCATGCATTCTTTTGGGCTATATTGGGTAAAAAAAAGAATCATCATTCCTAGCTGTCATACCCTGGAGTGGAGCAGAGAAAATTCCCAGAAATGGCGGCGTTTGTCTTTAAAAACAAACAAATAACAAACAAACAACCCTCCCCCCCAATAACTCATCGTCTCTTTGCAGCTGCGAACAGTACAATGACCAGCATGTCTTTTTTTTGCATCCATTTAAAGGAATTATTTACATTTTTATTCGTTTTTTTACAACAGGGATTTTTGTTTTAGCATAAGAAGACAACATGGCCCGAGCATCCAACTAAAACGTTACCTTTGGAAGGTCCTTACTACACTAATCCCTTGTTACAACAAATGCAGTTTGGACAAGCTCGGATGTCAGTGAGGGAGAACACACCGGCCGGCGTCCATGGGAGGAAAAGAAGCATGCATGCGAACACTGGACTTCTTGGCTTGAGTCTTCCTGCGGCAGCACCTAGCAGAACTTGGGTGGAGGTGTGTCTCTGAGACAGCGAGCGAGGGGCGCTCAGCGTCACTTCAGCAAGTCCTTGGATTCTGCAGCGAGCCTGCTCATGTTGGCTGTGGTGAGGGCAGACAGGTGTGGCGGGGGTGGCATTTGACAGATCGTGCACGGGCAAGGCAAACCGGCCCAGTGCTGGAAGCCACTGCCAAGCTGGAGGGCCGGGGGGGTAGAGGGAGTCTTGAGTAAAGAGTGAGGGGGCCTGATGGTGCCAATCCCTGGTAGGGAGGCGGAGAGCGGGGAGGAGGTGTTGGCCGAAGACAAGGCACTGCCAAGGATGGGGTGAACCTGGTGGACCGTGCTAGCTGGGTGGGCCGGGTGCCCGCTTGCGTGTCCCACTGTGCCGCAGTGAAAAGCGGAGTGGTGCCCCCCATAGATTTCACCCACCAGCCTCTTCATCTCCTCCAGGGAGCTAGTGAGCATCAGGATGTAGTTTCTGGCCAGCAGGAGGGTGGCAATTTTGGAGAGTTTCCTCACCGAAGGTCCATGTGCGTAGGGCATCACCTCCCGCAGCCCATCCATGGCCAGGTTCAAATCGTGCATCCTTTTGCGCTCCCGCCCGTTGATCTTCAGCCTCAGCTGCTGCAGGTCCTGCTCCGAGAGCTGCTTTTTGATTTTGTACTTGCTGCCTTCCCCTCCGGCCTTGGAGCCGTTTCTGGACAGGCCTTCCCCGGACATCTTCTGCACCAGGTCGCCCTGCGTGGAGGAGACCGAATTGAGCCGGTTGTCCTGATGGTGGTGGTGGTGGTGGTGGTGATGGTGGTCTCTCAGGTACATCTCATCCATGTCTGGCGAGGACGCTCTGCTGGAGACAGAGCTGGAGTCAGAATTCATTGTATTTGGACTTCCGAGCAAGAAATTTCTTCCCTGCTCTAAAGAGGGTGACGTTGGGTGATTGTTATTTTAAAAAAGCAAAACAAAACAAAATAAAACAAAACCCTGCAGGCTCTGTGAGGGGGGGGGGAGGTTCAAACAGGAGGAAAATTCTTCTTTCTCCCTCTAATCTCTTCCGCTGGATACCCAGCCTGCATACGGGATAGCTGGTTGGTGTATGCTTGAACTAACCTCAGCCTGGAAAAGAGGGGCTTTTATAGCGCTGCAGCAGAGAAAAGAGACAAAAGGAGCCCTCCTATCTATAATGGTCTTGTTAGGATGACGTGCAATTATTCAGGGCGGTGCGCTTTGACTGTCCCATTTAGCAAGGACTCCCATTCATATTCATTGTGGTGCCACCCTGGGACACCTCAGCCATGGACCATCAGGAGTCAAGGAGACACAAAACCTCTCTGATTGACAACACGCACTCATCCCTGCATGTTCACGCCCTCTCCTCCCCCTCTTTCTAATTTCCAATATAAAACTGCCTCTAGTGTACAGTAAAGAGCAAAGGGGCTGATTTGGGTGTGTATTTTTGCTTGGGGTCATTTTTCAGTCTAGCATCTCAGTGTTAGTAACATCGTAGCAAATTCTATTTGTCTGAGGAAGCAGAGGAAGATTGGTTGCTTTGGGGTGTGTGCCTGTGTGTATGTATTTGGCTGGTTCCAATCCCGAAAGAAAATAATCGTCTCACTTTCTTAATCCTTTTCTATACATATTTTAGTTCCCCTTCGTTTTCATTTGCCACCGATCTTTATGGTTTTCTCGCTTATCATTTCTATTAAAATATTTGGAAATTCATCTCTCTGGCTGCAACCATTTGACTTTTTTTGCACTTTGAATGAATATAAACCATGAATCTGTGTTGACAGTTTTATTTTTAAAGATAATCCAAATTGTTTCAAAATTAGAAGAGAGACCACGATATATTTATTCCCTGTAGATACACTGAATGGGAGGAGGTGGGGAAAGGAAGTCGTTTGTGAATTGGACTAAGAAGCTGCATAAAAGACTGGACACATGCAGGCAAAAGGAAACTAACATCAAGTCACAAGGGGGAGAGACTCTTGCAAGCAATAATATGTTACGCGATGAAGATTTGTTAGAGTAAGTAACTGGCTCCTTGAAGTAGTTTTATTTTGATATATACCTGGTAACAGACATAGGAGTCTGGTGTATGTGTGTGTGAGAGAGAGTGTGTGTGAGTGTGTGTGTGTGTGTGAGAGAGAGAGAGAGAGAGAGAGAGAGAGAGAGAGAGAGAGAGAGAGAGAGAGAGAGAGAGAGAGAGAGAGAGAGAGAGAGAGAGAGAGAGAGAGACTGTGTGTTGGGATACTGAAGGATGACAGTTTGTGTGTCTATAGCTGGAAGTGTTTCCGTTATGTTGCCCTGAGTGTCTGTGTGTATTGTGGCGGAGCTTCTGCAAAGCGCCATGCAAGACTGTTCCAGATATGCGGCAGTCTGGGTACCGATGTGCAGGATTTGTTTGTGGGCATATGTGAGTGCTTTCTGTAGGATCCGGGCAGAGATACTGCGCATTGGGATGCGCCATTGGTGTCTATAGCTGGAAGTGTTTCCGTTATGTTGCCCTGAGTGTCTGTGTGTATTGTGGCGGAGCTTCTGCAAAGCGCCATGCAAGACTGTTCCAGATATGCGGCAGTCTGGGTACCGATGTGCAGGATTTGTTTGTGGGCATATGTGAGTGCTTTCTGTAGGATCCGGGCAGAGATACTGCGCATTGGGATGCGCCATTGCGGGAGGTCGTGGGAGGGTGGGGGGGGGGGAGAAGCCTGCCAAAGCCAGGTGTGCTTATGAGGAAGAGTGTAATTTGGAGTAGTTTTGTAGAGATCCGGTGTACATAGAGACGGCTCAGCCTCTGGAATTGCCAGGGACTGATTGGTGTGTGCCCTGCACATGCTGAATGCATGAGTGTGTGAAAAGGACAAACACAGGGAGTGAATTGAGAAGGGTGACAGCGACGGTTTGTCTTGATTGCAGTGTTTGGTTAGCAAGTGTTAGCTGACACCTTCCAACAAACTTCTTCAAGCACTCTTGTGTAGACACGGCAGTGGAACCGTTAGCACGTGCAGACTGGCTCGGGTTGAAGCCTGACTCCCCCTTTAACAGCTTTCCTGATTGGAGAATGAAACCTTGACAGGAGTTTTCCGTCTGAGTATGGGTTTTAAAAGACCAACTGCACTGGTCAGACTAAAAGCAACTGCTAGCAGGCAGGGTCCAAGTTATTGTTACTCCAAGGATATTTCAGACCCACAAGGAGAAGCGTCTGAAAGCGATAGATGTTTTCCTCCTATTGATTCCAACTGTACTTAATCTGCTGAGAAACACATTTAAGACGTTTGTCATTGCTGTCTGTAAATCCCGCCGTGGGAACTGGAGCAGATAGAGTGATAAAGAAAAGAAAAGAAAAGAAAAGAAAAGAAAAGAAAAGAAAAGAAAAGAAAAGAAAAAGGCGCTTCTCTCACTGGGGGGAAAGTTGGACCAATAACTTGACTGAGAAATAAGGTGCATTAACCCCTTGTTCAGAAGCACGTAAGACAGAAAAATGATTGCATTCAGTTTCGGTTTGCCAAGCCTCTGCTGAGAGCATGGGAGACGCGGCGTTTCTCGTAGCTGAACCACTCCAGGTGTAAGGAGAAAGAAAAACTGTTTGACTAACTTCCGTGTAATCTGGCGCCTATACAGAGATTCACTCCCATTTAACGACATCAGGAACCGCATAACTGATAGTCTGTAGGGGTTGCCGTGTTAGTCTGTATCTCTAAAAGCAGCCAGGAGTCCTGAGTCACCTTACAGACTAACACATTTAATAGGGCATCAGCTTTTTTTGGTCAAAATCACTTCGTCAAATGCATGAACATAAGTGAATAATGCACCTAGTGATCGCCATCCCTCTTTCCAGCCAAGAGCACAAATCTAAGCAGGACCAGGCAGGGTACACTTCTGGAGCTATCTTTACTCATGAAAAGACACCCAAAGTGTCTCTTTCTGCCCCTTTCTACTTTTTATGTGCTTGGAAAAACTGCTGGCAGGACCTGCAAATTCCAGCCTTGCCCACTGATTCCCCCCTCCCCATTGTATCTATTTGAAACACTTTAGAAGTTTTAAAGGGGGGGCATTAATTGCTTAGCTATTCACATTAATAAGACAAAAGTGTAAGCACGGGAGAAAAGAATCAAGTAAAACCCCACAAGCGATTCATAGTAATAAATGCGATAGCTGCAACCAAAGGGATTCTGTTCTGTCTCGGTTAAGAGTTCTTCGTCCTCAGAACCGCCCTTAAGACAACTTCCATCGGATCAGGGGCCGGCTGCATGGCACAGGCTTCTTCTTGGTCCCCAGGCTTTGGGGATCATGGAGATCCCTGTCCTCAGACTTACATTTTTTTTTCTCTTAGCAAGAGGGATTAGCGCCAGTTCCCGGCTTTCTACCAAAACATCTACTGCCCGGGAGAAGCGATCCCCGGGTGGCTGCCTTCTCTCTTCCGAGGGAAGAGTGTGGAGGGCGAGAGGGAGGCCCTGTCAGCCAGCTCTGGAGGAAGGGGGATTATTAGAGAGAAGTGAACTCCCGGCTGCCTCGCCCCCACCCTGTCCTGCTCATTCCTTTGCGGTCCTGGTGTTCTGCTGCAAACCGCAGCGTCTCCCATTGCCAAGGGCAGGAGCGCTCCGCACGTGCTTTTTGGAGTTGGGGGTTATATTCGAGCAGAGATGGGGGGAGGCGCAGAATGAATTGCAGGGGGAAACTGGCATGTGCGCTCTCTCTCTCTGTCTCTCTGTCTCTCTCTCTCTCTCTGTCCCTGCCAGACATAGAAACCAGAGGGGTGGGACAGCAGGATCTTCGCTGGGAATTGTTACAGCCGGGTGTAATGTGGGAACAGGCCATGGGGTGAGGAGCTGTGTTCCCGGGTGGGATGGGGGAATCCCAGCCACCATCAATGACTGGGTGTCAGTGGGGACAATCTTGCTGTCAGGACATTATACTTTGAGCCCGAACCTCCAGCCGTTTACCCGGAAGATCCACAAACACACATGTACATGCTTCTTCTCTACAGCGGCCAAGGGAAGGTTTTGCCTGAGCTAGGCAAGTTGACTGGCAAAGACGAGAATTCGAGCCCCAGCGAGAGAAGGGGAAGGACCAGGCGTCACGGGCTAGAGATGAAGCGATCTGACTGCAGAAAGGGCCTTCGGACCGACTTTTCCAGCGCTACAGCCATCAGCCACCCTGTACCGTTCCATCGCCTTGGCAGGTTTTAGCCACCACGCCCGCCTGCGACAGAGTTTTGCCTTGCTGGCTGGAGAGCAAAGCGCCTCTGGTTGTTTTTGTTCAGTTAATTGGCAATCCAACGTACACATACACACACAAAGGCATAGTTTGCAAAAAAAAAAAAAAAAAAAAAAAAAACAACCTAAAAAAAACCCGCAGAGAGATTTTCGGGGCATCCGAGCGCATTCTGTCGTCCCCTCTCCCTCCAATACAATGAAAATACTCTGCTTGAGGCGGGACAAGTGTTATTTTGCATTTGCTGCGACTTTGGCTGGGGCAAGGCTCTGCCCCCTTTCTCCTTGTTTAGCATTGCACATTTTTGGTAGGGCCGAAAGAACGCAAAATCTACTCCACATATTTCAGCAATTTCAGACAAGCGATGTGTATCAGTAGTTGGTGTAGGATTTGATAGAAAATTTCACTGCCCTGGAATTCTTATACATAAACCCAACCCTACGCCAGAAAGGACCCTCCATTTGATCTAGTCCTTCCTCTGGGCCATGTGGGAATATAAATAAGCAAAAGGGGAGGGGGAAGGCTTTGAGAGAATAGCTTTGCACGACACTCTACAATTTAGAGAGATGGAGTATGTATTAATTATTATCAACATGGTTGTCACAGTCACCAGCAACTCTTGTTCGGCTTAGTAATGCAACAGGCTGTTTCCCCAAACTCCTTGTAGTTTAAAATGGGCCATAAGTGATTTATTACTATATTTACTGCAACAGAAATATCGCACAAACAAATACCTGGTTACCAGCTCTATTCCTTGTTAGAGCAGGAGTGTTCCTTACAATATGTACTTCTCTCTAGTCTGTGTTTCTCATGTGTGTGTGAATAATAAAGCAGTAGCTCATACTTCTTTGTACTATGATACTGATTACTCTCCATTATCTGCTACACTTGCTTTTTGTTTTGTTTACTTTAGAAAGTGAAGTAGGACCAAAAGCAAAATCAATTTTAGACAAGACTATTAAAGATTTTAAAAGTGTGCTCTTGCTCCCCTTTCAGTAAATAGCAAAACTCCCAGAATGCATCTACACAGAATCAAAAACTCAAAATAAGATATGCAATTTGTGCTATGCAAATTGCATATCTTATTTTGATTGAATTTTGAAATAGGCTATTTTGAAATTTGGCATGACTACACAGCGTCAAATTTTGAAATAACGTGCTATTTTGAGACATCCCTTAACCCTCATGGAATGAGGGTTACTGGGATGCCAAAATAATAGTGTGCCTGGTATTTTGAAAAATATTTTGAAATAACGAGCTGCTTGTTAAGACACTGGATAGCTATTTTGGGATATCTCTGGTTACCCGAAATAGCCATGCAATGTAGATGTGCCCCTAGTGACATCAGTAGGAACAAAATTAGGCCCTAAGATTCAGTAAGTTAGACAAATACATATTATAATAATTGATGGAAGAATATAATAAGAAAGCTAAACTGTGCTGGAAAAACTAACCTTTCCTTCCCTTCTGATCCCTCTCTTCACAAGGGGAGGATGTCAATTTGATGAGAAAGATATGTATTTTCTGATGAGAGGTAAATGTCTAACAGCCTTGCACTATGAGGCATGTGAGAGTCACAGGATGTGAGGGAGCCTCAGAATAGCACAAGTACTAATTATGCTACTATATATGAAAATGGAGTTTATTGGCAGAACTGGAAGTTTAATTTTAATGATGCATAAACATCATGGTTGATTAGAACTTGCAGACTTATTATACAATTCTGGTTTTGAAAGGTATATTAGAATGGAAGTAATTAATTTCTATGGACATAGTTTACCTGATTTTTAATTGGTGGATGTACTTCAAATTAGCAACTCCTAATTCTGAAGTCTCGTGCAGTTTCTGATGGTATATGGATGTGTCCTAAATATTTTTAGCATGGAGGCATGTTTCATCTTGGATCACTTCCATGGTGATTTTGTTTTGTCAAGGATCCCCTAACCTAAGGACTGACTGGTTAATTCAATATATAATTTTAATGTATTACTACTGTGAAGTTTTTAAGAGGCTATTTAGTTTTTTTATTCTTTGCCATCTAGATTTTGTTTCCTATTTAATTAATGCATTTTTAAACAGTGCTTTTAACAACTCATATATAAGAAGGAGATGACAAAGTTTTAAGATTCTTATAGTACATTATATTGTTACTATTTGATTAACTAATAGTGGAAAGAAAGAAAGAAAGAAAGAAAGAAAGAAAGAAAGAAAGAAAGAAAGAAAGAAAGAAAGAAAGAAAGAAAGAAATGAAAGCTTTTGTAGATGCTTTATCATATGTTGTACAGAATTCTGAAATCTGCTTGTATTTCTTTTAAGCATGTATTTCATTCAACAGAATTTGAAAGGTTTCCTTTTCTATGTTCTGTTTTTGCTCAAAGTGTGTTATTGATTTACAGCCAGATTGATAGTATCTTATCATTTGACATCCTTATATCACTTAATTGTATAGTCTGCAAGGCTGATATATAGTTCTTGTGATCATCACAAGCTTCTTTTCCAATAATTGACTCTATCCTGTACTCGAGGAACTAGTAATACAGCTCCCATTGAGCAGAAAAGGAGTAGGATCAGGCACAAGAAGTTTGTCACTCGCCAGATTCCAGTGGGATAAACCCAATTTTCTCCTTGACTCACATTTGCTGTCAAATTTATTGACATCAAGGATAGAGCAGAATATGATGCCATTTATAGGGTATAACTCCAAAGCCCTTACTCATTCCAAAGTCACATTGAATTAATGCAGGATCAGGCACTTAAGGTACATCTATACTGCAACACTATTTCAAAAGTGGTATTCCAAAATAACTTAGTCTGTGCCTACACAGCAGTCAGTTATTTTGAAATAGGGTCAAAATACTGTCAAGCTGGAGGACTTCTTACTTCAACTCCTGTAACCCTTATTGTACAAGGAATAAAAGAAGTTGGAGGAAGAGTGCTCTGTTTCGAAATAAGTGCTGTAAAGATGCTCCCTATTTCAAAATAAGCTAAGCAATTGACGTAGCTCAATTTGGGTTGCTTATTTCAAGTTAAGCCTTGCTATGTAGACATATTCTTAACAAGATTCTGTTTTCTAGACAGACTATAACATGCATTGTTGAAAGTAACAGAAGTGTGATTACCTTCTCCCTGCAGTTCGGTTTATTGAGGTTGCCATTTTCTTCCTACATTTAAATACGGCTTTGCAAAACTTTATGAAAAAAGTAGACATTTAAAAAACTTTGAAAAGAGAAAGGGAAAGAATTAGAAGTCAGTTTTCAAGGATTAATTAGTTTGAGGTGTTTGAATTACTAATCCTCAGTGACATTTGCTATGAACAGCCTGAAATTAGTTTCTGTAAACAAGTAACGCTACATAATCAACAATATGCATTTTGTTCATGTTTTTTTACCTTGCCTTAAAGATACCTGAATCATAAGTTTCACATTTAGTGAATGGATTATTGTAAATACATTTGAAGGTCTAGAAGGCCTTCAGATATACTGGGGATTTAACCAACAGTGAAATATTTTGCTGTCTTTGGATTGTAGAGAGAATAAAACCACCCAGGGTTGTTTGTATGCTTCCACCACAGAATGTATTTTTTAGGTGCTTGGTAAAACTGGCATTACTTCCAAACACTGAAAAGGTCTGCGCTACAGTTATTTGCTTTGTCAGTCATAAAGAGTTGTGATTATCATCTGTCTATTATATGCGCAGAATGGGCTGAATCAAGCAGTCTTTATTTAGGCAAATCTCCCATTTACTTTGGAATCAGGACCAGTTTGTATTAAGTTTAAAGGATAACCATAATACTTTTCAGTGGTCTTTATTTCATTTATTTTCCTTTTTTCTCTCTGATGACAACACACACATATTAAAGTCAAAATGTTTTAAATTAGTAATGCTGAAATTTTAAAATAAATTATATGTTTTCCTCCTCTTCCCATCTGGACCATCAAACCGCTAATAGTTGTGCACATCTGAATCTCTATTAACCTCCTTCTAAACACTGGCATTAATTCTGACCCTTTCCAACTGACTTTTACCAGTGGCTATGAACAGAGACATAAATAACAATGTCAACTAAGAATAAAAAAGGTACAGGCAGATAAGATATGAGAAAATAATTGGGAAAATCAGCTGTGTTGTTCTTTGGTAAGTTTTTAGGCAATTAATAGGTTATTTAATATAATACGATATTATACCTATAGCTAACACATTAGTGAAATAACCACATAAAATGTAAAAAGGGTGCTAGGGTTCCAAACGGTTTGTAGAAAGACTAAGAAATTCAATTACAAACTGACATTAAGAAGACCAAATAAAAACACCCGAGTAGTCCAATAACCCCTAGCAATTTCCAAGTACACAAGCCTCAATAAAGAGAAAAATATCATATTCTAATTTTTATCATTTATAGATAAAGATAGATAGAGATAGAGATATATACACACACACATTGGGATAAAAATTGGAAGATGATTTTCATTTGGTCTTCATAATGCAAATTTTTAATTGGAT